ACAAAGCTATATGTTTGTTAAATAAATGGGGCAGCAGAATGAAGAGCTGGGAGAGACACTGGCTCAGCAAATTCCCGGGATACCCCTCCTTCTTATAAATGGCCCAGAAGAGTTCTCAACTAGTGAGAAGCTGGGCCCAAGATCTACAAACTGTGAGGGAGTCCAGAGGGCCGACTAAATTAACCTAACCTAACCTCAGTTTTCTATCTGTAAAATGGAAATCATCACAGCACCTACACCATGGGGATGTTATGAGGTTTACATAAGACAAGTGCACGTAAAGCGCTCATGAATGCGTTAGCCAGGGATAAGTGCTGCAGTGAAGGGAACTTCAGAGAGTTGGATCTGCACCATCCCTTACCCACCCCTGCCAACGAAGGGCCTGCGCTATGGGGCAAGAAAGAGGCCTTTGTGCTGTTACTCCTCTCCCTGCGCAGGCACAACCCCGCCCCGCCGGGCCGAGAGCCCGGCCGCTAGAGGGCGCCGCAGAGGTGCGGGGGGCGGTGGGTACCGCCCGAGCGCGCCGGGCAGAGGGCGCCGAGGCGGGGGCTCCAGGGTCACCACGCCGCAGGCCGGGAGAGCGGGCAGACCCCTGCCCACCGACGTACTTCCTGCGCCCGCGCCCGGGGCGAGGGTCTCGCGGAGAGGTGGGCAGGAGAGAGCGCGGGCTTAGGCTCCACTCGCCCTGCTCCCACTCCTCGCTACCGTGGGCTTCGAGCTTTGGTCTCCGTCTGGGTGGGGACTCGAGGACAAGGCGTACACGCTCACGGGGGTCGGGGGGAGGATGCTACGAGGCAAGGAAGCCAACTTAGCCCGGCTGGGGATAGGGGACCCTGAAATCGGTCCTGCCTCACCCGGGTCACTCGCCGGGCGCGTGGACTCAGCTATGGAGGCTGGAGAGAAGCCTTGGGGATCCGGCCCGAAGCGCCTGCCCAAAGTTCTGCACCACTTCTCTCCAAACGTCTCACATCTGGTCAAGTCCAGGGCCAGGGCGCATATACCAGGTGGCGGAAAACTTGGGGACCCGGTGTCCACTGACCAGGCAAAGCAAAATTGACGCCGTTAATCAGATTTCTCAAGCCATTTTTTACCATACAGATTTGAGTGGGAAGCACGGGCCTCCATAGCGCTGGGGAAAGCGCCCCTTCCCTCCGTCTGGGCCACACGTCCACCGTGCGTCCAACTCCTAGGCGGCAGCAAGTGACCTGGGCTCCGAGGTCCTGTCCACATAGGCGGGACAGAGAGCGCTTAGGGACGCCCAACGGGAACCCTGCTCCTCCCCGGAGCCCCGTGCAACCCCGTGCAACCGAGATTCACAGACTCGTCCAAAATGCGTCACCTCTGCTCCCAGCATTCAACGCCCCCGCGCGACCCCTGTCGCTCCAGCCGCCGGAAGGACCAGGGGGCGCTCTGCCCAGGTCCAGGCTGTGCAAGGAACCAGGGCCTGGGCCGCCCAGAACCCATCCATTCTCCGGAAGCCGACCTCGAGGCTTCGGGGCAGGTAGAGCTGAGCTGCCCGGGACCCTGCCCCTGCCCCGAGAGTACCTGCACAGAGCCCTGTCCCGGAGGTGAAGCGCCCGGTACGTGGAGGGAGATTGTTTCTCAGAGGCCTTAACTGCCGAACGGGATCGGAAAACCTAGATTTCCTGTCCCAAGATAATGCTTTTTGTTGCGGCCACTTTCTCCCCGGCCCCGATTGTCAGGGACTCTGGGGGCCCGTTACTAGCCCTGATTTATCTTCGGCCCCGCCCTGGATATTAGTTTCTTCTTTTGTCCGGGAATTAGTCTCTCCCGACGTCCCCGCCGTTGGGGAGGGGAGGGAAGGGGTGTAAAGAGGCTGAGGGCCTAAAGTAGCGGTGGGGGTGGGCAAGGAGGGATGCCGGCAGGACGACCAGCTGCCTTCCCCCGCATCCACCCCCCAACCCCCAACCCCCCGGGCTCAGAATCGAGGTCACCGCCCACAGCGGGTGAGACCTCCAACCCACGCCCATTCCTCAGGGCACTGAGGCCCAACCAGTCCGACTTCATAGGTCCGGTGGGAACGAAAAGGATCGCCGACCCCAGGACAGAGAAAGAAGCAACACTGACAAGTGGCAAACGTATCTGGCTTTGAGCTTCTCACGTGGGTCCAAGCCGAGGGGGAGGGTTTAAACGAAGGCGCTACCAGCTCACAGCACCAGCACACTCCCAGCGCACGCTCACTTCCTGTCCCCACCCCCTGGCAGCCCTGAGCCAGGACCCCTGCCTTTAAAACATGCGGTCGCACAACAGGTCTCGGTCATTCCTGGAGCTGCAGCCGGCGCACTCCCACCCCGACCCCGGCCCCAGGATGGCCCCAGACACGCTGAGCGCACCTACCACGGAGCCCTGGGCTTGCGCGCAGCTTGAAAACCTACTCATCTGTAAAATGGGAATAATAATAGAAGCTCCCTCAGGGAGCTGTTGTGAGAAACAAACCAGTTAATGAATATAGAGCGTTTAGCAGCGCCGGGCACGTAGTAAGTGCTCAATACGGTTATAAATAACGACGATCATGGCTTTCACCGGTAGCGAACGGCAGTGCCACGTTTAACCTGCAACTCAAGGTCAAACTGCCCTGTTGGGGAGGTATCTCTAACCCCACGACGGCGATAAAGAAACAGACCTAGGGAGGGGCACTAACTTGCTCAGAGCGGTTCAGCTGGGAAGAGGTAGAGTTGGATTCGCACCCAGGGCCGCTTCTCTCCTCCTCCCCGTGCGGAGGCTGAGAGAGGGGCCGGGCCCCGCGCGGAGAGCCCCGCGTTCCCTCGGTGGCCCGGAGGAGTGACTCTTCAGCCGAGGGACCAAAAATAGCAACCCGCAGGAGCCGAGACCCAGGTGCCCTGCGCCAGCGGTCGACCCAAGCGGCCAGAGAGAAGCGAGAAGTGGCTGAGGTCAGGCCGGCGGCTCCCGGGCGGCTGGGAGGGGTCGAGCGGGGGCGGGGCTGGACCCCCACGTGCGCCGCCTGCCGCTGCTTAGCCAAGCCCTTTGTCGCGAGCAGCCGCGTTCGTGCCTCACTCGGCGGCTTAAAATAAAGACAATGTTCCCAGCCTCCCTGCGGCTAAATCCGGCGCGGGTGCGGGGGCGGTGAGAGAGCCGGGTGGGAGAGCTTCTCCTGGTCCTCCCTCCCTGCCTGCCTCAGTTTCCCCATCTGGTAAGGGGAGCTAGCCAAGTCCGGGTGGAGAAGAGTCATACGGGCCGGGGGGCCGGGGGGGGGGGCATCATCCCCCTGCCTCCGCGGCTTCGCGGACTTAAGGACGAAACCGCCTGGGACGGAGAGGGGCACTCAAGAAGAGGCAAGGGAAAGCTGGACACCCTCCCCTCCCGCCTACAAAATAAGTGTTTTTATTTCTAACGGGACGTGTGCAGAGGCGGTGGGAGAAGAGAAAAGGGAGACCAAGGAGATTGGGGGGAGGGGGCAAGGAGAGAGCCTGATTCAGACTCGGAAATGGATGTTGAGCGTGGAGGCCTAACACCCCCACACTCAGCCACGTGTACGCGCACAAGTACACGCAGCCCCACCGCGCGCCCCAGCCGCAGCCGCAACTCGAGGACCGCCCAGCAGGGGGCAGCCCGAGTCTGAGCCCACGGACAGGGACTGGTGGCGTTCTGACCCCACCCCGGACCCGCTGGTCGGGCCCGGGGTGGGAGGGGGCTGCTCAGATTCCTCTCCAAGCTGCAGTGTCTCCTCGACTTCAGAAGGGAGGTGGCCTGGATGCTTGCTCTACCCTCAGCTGGCTTTGAGAAGCAGAGATCCCCCACATGTACCTGCCACGTGTGCCCACCCCTAGCATCCCATGGCTGCTGGCCAAGCCCCAGGGACACCAGTTTCTGTGCCACCTGGCTCCAATGGCAACTGGGCTCCAGCCTGAGGAAGCCCTGGGTTACCCTCAGGCGATTGAGAGGGGGTGCTTGGTGGGGAAATGGGCAGGGGGAAAGTGGTGGGGCAGGTCCCGGCCCCCTGCCTTAGAGCCAAGGGACCTGAGTCCAAACACTTGCGCCGCACGTATTAATCACGCCTCTGCTCTTCAGTTTTCTCATCTGCATAATGGGACTAATAGATGATCCCTGTCCTTCCTATCTTCCACCCCAGAGCTTCAGCATGGCACCGTGGGGCAGAGGACACAGCAGCCCAGCAGCCAGCTCCCCAGCTCCCCTCCGTGGTCAGCTCCCTGGGAGGTCTCTAGGGCCAGGTGAGGGTGGTGCAGAACCCTGGTCTCTATGGCAAAGGGCCCCCAGGGGTTCTATCTCTGGGGAAACTCAACACAGAAATCCAAAAGAGGGGGGAGGGAGGGTACTGACCAAGCAGTCGGGCTAAGGGAGGTGGGGAGGAAGGGCAAGGTTGTCACTTCCCAGGTACACACCTGTGAGCCCTGAGTGGGAGTCAGGGGAGACAGAGTTTGACAAGCTGGGAGGAGAGCTGTCTGTCTGCCTGTCTGTCTGTCTTCCAAGTGGAAGCTGGGGGTGGAGCAGGCAGGGAGGTAGAGGCTGCCTCACTTGTCAGAATTAGCAAGTTCCACAGTTGGGCAACACTCAGACACACACCGAATACAGATACACGTGTACACACACGTCCTGGTTCCAGACCAACAGGGTAACACCTGCATTTACACAGGTTGCATGGTATTCGGGGACATTCACGTGGGGGGGGGCACTCAGCAGCACGTGTAGTGGGCACACGCCCCCTCCACTCCTCCCTTCCAACCAGACCCCCATAGAGCCTCACACCCGGGCTCTGCAGCATAGAGGGACGCAAGAGCACGCAGCCCAGCACGCGGGCACGTCTGCCCAGCCCCTGGGGCGGGTGCGCCAGCCCTCTGGGTCTGTTCCAAGTTGGCGCCTCTCACGTGAGGCCCAATGTGTCATTTCCAAACAGAAGGAATCTAGCTCCTTCGCAGCAGGGAGGAAGAGCAGGGTGTGGGGCTGGGTGGGTGGGTGGGCGCGTGGGCGTGTGCAGGGGCAGGGCGTGTATGAGGGAAACAGGCATGTGAACGCCGGGGTGCGTGTGTTGGGGCATGGTGCGCACAGATTGGGGGCTCTAAGGTTGGGTGGGGGAAGGAGCCCCGGGAAACAGTGTGCCTTTGTGAGGGTGTGTGTGTGTGTGTGAGTGTGTGTCGCTGAGTCTGTGTGCAGTGGGTGTGAGTGTTTGTCTCCCTGTATCCGCCTTCTCTCCCGTTCCGGACTTTTAGCCTTCCTGGGCTCGTTTTCCCCATGTCCTACCTCCTCCCTCTCGGGGCTCGAATTAGGTGCCCTAGTGGAGGAGGGAGGCACGCTCCAGGACCTAGTCCAACCCCAGCCGCTGCCTGAGGCTTCCCTCCAGCTCCCCCTCCCTTCCTTTTCTCCCTTTCCTCCCTCCCTCTCTTTCCTCTCCTCCCTCCCCCCCCCCAGGCTGGCGTGCCAGGGGGTGGGACATGCCAATCAGTGGTTGTGCCTCTCCGGCTGCCAGCACAGGGCGCAGCTCCCCCCGGGAGCCAGGTGTTTGGGTCCCTGGAGACGGCGCCGGCCCCCGGGGAGGCAGTGGGGCTGAGGACCCTACAGACCCTTCTCCAGTCCCATGGTGAGTACATTTGGGTGGGCTTGGGAGGGGCTCCATCAAGGTGGGGGCGGGAAAAGCAGGGTCCTGGGAGCGAAGCAGAGACCAGGACTAGCAGGAAATGGGGACGAACTCCAGAGAGAGGAGGGGGCCAAGGAGGGGTCTGGAGGCCAGGGGGGCTCTGTAGCATTGGACAGTGGCCGCTCCAAACACCCAGTCTCGTGGCTTTGAGCAGATACACCTGATGTTTTTCTGGGGTTCAGCTGGCAGAGGAGATGGAGACCCCCCCCTCATGAAACTGGACCTGGAGCCCAGAGGGATTAAGCCGCCACGTAGCAGGCAGAGGACCCAGAATCCCAGGGACAGAGTGCAAAGGACAGGGGGCCAGAGGGCAGCCTTGGCCACCAGCATCCCGTGGGAGGTTGCCCCCCCCGACATTGGGGTGCCAGTCCCAGAACCTCCTCCTCTTCTCCCTCAGGGAACCCTGACTCCCACCACCCCCATCCACCTTCAGGCCCCCCAAGATGGACTGAACCAGGTTGCTGGCCAGACGGACAAGCTGGATGCCAAGGTGGGTGTTAGACCAGAAGCCAGCAGGAGACCAGGCCAAGAGCCCCAGGGCTCTCCGGGAACAAATGGGCACATGGGAGGCCACACCAGCCAGGGAACGTGGCCCTGATGTGTGCAAGGGCCCAGAGGGCCCTCCCTATGTCCACGGTGTCTTGGGCTCCCACAGAGCAGGTCTCAATCCTGTGTCCTGGTAATGCATGGGTACTAATGGGCACCCACGCGGGTACCCATCCCAGTACCCCCCAGACTCCACAGTGTAGGTAGGGATGGGCTGGAGGCCACCAGCTCTGATTCCTGCAGACTCGCCAGCTGGGAAGGGGGTGGTCAGCTCTCACTGGGTCATTCAGACAAGTGCTGTTTAGGGGTTATCGGTGCTAGCGAGAGGGGTTCACTGCTTGCCACAAAACATACCTACACAGCTCCATCCAGGCTGGCCCAACCACCATGACCCACCACCCCCCCCTCCCAAGTGGCCAGAAGGAGTCAGACTGTCTCCTACAGCTGGACAGTCTTCTATCCCTGAGTAATCAGCTGCTCACTGAGCTGTCAGATAAGAGTTAGTTCTCTGCCCCCTGACCTCAGCCACTGGGCAAGCCATGATCGCTCCTGTGATACAGAAGGCAGGGGAGGGGATGGCGAAACGGGGCTCCGGAAGATGCGACTCTTGTCTCCCAGGCTGAGGCCTAGAGGTCTGAGAACTGATCCCCAAGTGCAAAGAGGAGTCCAGAGTGCCAAGAAGGGGTTAGGCTGAGGTCACGTCAGCCCATTGACCAGTTGGAGAGACGGAGGCTGAGAAAGGTGAAGGGATGTGCTCGTGGTCCCAGAAGGGACATGGAGGGGTCCTCCTGGGCTAGGACCCCGTTCCCCTCAGCCTCAGGGCAGCATTGCACTCCCACCTCCTTGAGCAAGATGTTGGGGTGGGGGAGCAGCAGGGAGCTTGGGCTCTGGAGGGGAGGGGGAGGGCGGGCGGGGAGAGGTGGGTGAATATCTCGCTGGGTTTCTGCTCTGCTGTGATGCCATGGTGATGCCTAGAAGGATGGGGGAGGGAGGGAGGGAGAAGAAAGGAAATGGGGAGGAGAACTCAAGGATGGAAGAACAGGGGGCAAGTGGAGAGGTGGATGAGGGGCAGAGCACTGCTGATACCACCTGGCCGAGTGAGGTCTAGGGCCCAGCCTGCTGACCACCTGGCTCTGGCATGGTTCAGCTGAACTCGGGCAACTGGTTAAAGTCCATCAGCCGTGAGTGCATTTGGCAGTGGTTCTAGGGCTGACGCTCCTCTTCCGGCTCGGCAACACATTTATGAGCATTTAACTGAAGGCTGCTGCTCTCCCCAGGGCCACTCGGCTCTCCCCATCGTGACCGTGGCGCCTGAAAATATGATAAATTGCACGTGTTTACCCCCTCATTCCCAAGGCCAGGCATCGGAGGTAGGAGTTTTGTGCACCTTTAATGGGTCAAGAGCTTCTTTTAGAGAAAAGTTAACCCCGGGGGAGAGAGCTGCCTCTGACAGGCTGGCTTCTGGATTAAGGCTCCAGCAGAAGGGACCAGACAGAAGACCGGGCCAGAGGAACACCCTCCTCTCTGCACATGTGAAGTCCCGGAAGCCCAGCCCCACAGACCCTACCTCGTATCTCCCTCTCCCCAGTATTGCTCCTTCTTTCCAGTCGGGGCTCTGCCAGCTTCCAGGCCCAGAATCACAAGATGGCTTCGCTCCTCCCTCCTGAATCCCTTCCCCTGCACCTCCTCATTCTCTGTCTCCCCTTCTCCACAACTTGGCCAGCGGTAAGATTCAGGAAGCCCAAGTGTTCAGGAATCCCTCTCCCCAGCAATCGCTCCTAGCCTCCCCCTTCCTCTTGCCGGCCAGATCCCCAGCCCCTGGGGATTGGTCCAAGGCTCTGGCGGTCAACAGTCTGGCTTGCCGTTTGAGAGGCTCTGACCTCATCCCTTAACTCTTTAAGCCCAGGCTGACTTTTTCCTCCCCCAGCACTGACAGGCCCCATCCCACACCCGTGCCTGTCCTATCACCTCATTCAGCTTCCCCGAGGCAGGTGAGTCAGGGGCTCCTTGGCCCATTTAACAGGTGAGGATGCCTTGGCCATTTTTCTCCTGTGCTCTCAAGTCAGACAGGGCCTCACCCAGGAGACAGGGGCCTGGCAAGTGAGGGGATGCAAGAACTGCAAGGAGTCGGGGCGGCGGGGGGGGGGACACATGCTCTGGAGCCTGACCCCTGTGGATTCAACCTCATGCCCCTGAGCCGGAAGTCAAACAGGAGGACCCCATGTGCATATTCACGTATTTCTTCCACAAATATTTATTGAGCAACTACGTGTGCCAAGCACTGGGATAAAGCAGCGAATGAGGCAGACACAGCCCCTACCGTGCTTCTCCGAGAGCTGCGGCTAGACCTCCCCCTTCCACAGTGCTGTCATCATACCTCACACAGATCGACAACAGACCCTGTCACACACACACACACACACACACACACACACACACACACACAGAGGCCAGATTCTAAAGGAAGGACTGATTCCTCACTGACTCAAACCTCAAACTATGGGTTGGCCAAGTCAGTCAAGGTGGGCGAGGAGCCTGTGGGGCCCACCATTCCCACAAGAGGAGTTTAGAGTAGACAGGGGTCCAAGAGGTCTAAATCCTGGCTGCATTAAGGATTTAAGGTCCTTAAGGTCTCAAAACCTCAGTTGCCCCTTTTGCAGATTGAGGATAATAAAACCTGCTTCACGAGGAGTTGTAACAGGTCAATTAAATCATGAATAGAATGCTTAGAGCCGCGTCTGGTATATGGTAAGCAGTCAGTAAATGCCAGTTGCTATGATAATTTTAATAATATTACTAAAAGCTCCCAACAACCTTCATCAGGAGGCCACAGTCCTGAGCAGAAAGGCACCTCCCTGATTCCTTGCCTCCTTCCGGTACCCCAGACATGACGCCCTCAAAGGATGCATCCCACCCCATCTCCACAAAGCTACAGACTCACCCCCACCATTTCTTATTCTCACTCAGCAATGCACATACCCTCACACACAATCATCCTACAGGATTACCAGGTTGGGACAGTGACTTGCCCAAGGTCACACGGCAGGGACCAGCGCAGGCCCCCAGGAACGTTCTCCTGAGCAAATCACTGTCTGAAAGAGGTTTGGAGGAAGACCCCCCCCCCTTTTGACTGGGGAGGAAAGGCAGAGTTATTGACAGCTCTGTTCTTGGACTGCATCCCAAGAGCTCAGATGATCCAGGGAGTGGCAAGAATCAGGGACCAGTTCCCCAGAACCACTACCCTTCTCTTTCCCCACCTTTGTCCCAGATAGGAGGCCTTAGCCTCTACAGCTCCTAGGTGGGGTATAGAGGAGTCTGCCAAGTGGAAAGAACACAGGCCTCGGACCTCGCAGGCCCAGGGCAGAATCCCAGCCCCACCACTTCCTATGATACCATCAGCAAGTTGAACTTCAGTTCAACAGTCTTCATCTGTGAAATAGAAATAAGAACCCCCATTGGGGTGCCCTATGGATTAAAGGAAATGATATCATACATCAAGAGTCTGGCATGCAGGAGGTGATTAATTATGGTGGCTATCAGTGTGGCTATTAAAATGAGTGAGTGGGAGGGATTTCCAGCCATTAAGACTGCCAGCCTCCTCACCTCCAAGGATCACTTCTCATAGGCCCCCCCATTCTGAAAGCCTTTTTAAAACTCATCAAAGCTGGGGTACCTGGGTGGCTCGGTCGGTTGGTTAAGCATCTGTATTCGGCTCAGGTCATGATCTTGGGGTCCTGGGATCGAGCCCCACATCAGGCTCCCTGCTCAGTTGGGAGCCTGCTTCTCCCTCTCCCTCTGCTCCTCCCCCCATTTGTTCTCTCCCTCTCTCTCAAATAAATAAATAATCTTTAAATATATATAATAATAATAATAAATAAAAACACATTTTTTAAAAGAAAAAAAAGAAAGGCACCTGGGTGGCTCAGTTGGTTAAGTGACTGCCTTCGGCTCAGGTCATGATCCCAGGGCGCTGGGATGGAGCCCCGCATCGGGCTCCCTGCTTGGCGGGAAGCCTGCTTCTCCCTCTCCCGCTCCCCCTGCTTGTGTTCCCTCTCTCGCTGTCTCTCTCTCTCTCTCTGTCAATTAAATAAATAAATAAAATCTTGAAAAAAAGAAAAAAAAACAAATGAGGAATCTGGAACCCAGAGAGGGGCTGTGCTGGGGTCTGGACAGCAAGAGGGGGCTGGGCTATGGATGGGACTGAGGACCCAGAAATAAGTCCAGAGAGGCTCTTTGGATGCCGTGAGCCCCATCAGCTGGCGGATACAGGATGCCCAGGGAAGGACAAGTTAAATGATTGCTGATGATCACACCGCTAGAAAGAGACAGTTTTGAGGGAGGACACACAAAAAACTCAAGATAAATAATATTGTAATGTAACATTTTAAAAAATCAACTAGCCAAAAAAAAAAAAATCAAACAGCAAACTAGACAGCCCACAGGCGGGCCGTCTGTTTTTGTAAATAAAGTTTCATTGGAACCAGGGCCAGGATCAGGGTGAGTCATGGGTGATAGGATTGTTTGTGCAAGTGCAGAGTTGGACCCTGCCTTTGTTTAAAATTTTGTTCATGATGGATGGTTGTGCATCAATTTCCTTTTTTTTTTTTTTAAGTAATCTCTACACCCAACATGGGGCTCGAACTCATGACCCCAAGATCAAGAGTCATGTGTCCTTCGACTGAGCCAGCCAGGCACCCCATCAATTTCCACTTTTTAAATATTGCATTAAAATATCCATTTTCTTGAACCCTGAGTTTGGGGGCACCTCTGATTTTACTCCCAAGGCAAAACTGTCTCCCTCACCCCGCCCAGCCCCCCGCCCAGGCCTAGTCCAGCTGTGATGTGGGACCAGATCCGACAGTGGGGACCTTGGCCCAGCGTTGACCGCTGCACCACGCCCAGGCGGACAGGACGCCCCAGCAGCTGCCGAGGGTGCGGCCTCTGAAGTCAGCAAGCTCATCTTGTCTGTCTCTGACTCAGTCTTTTCCCATCTTGGCCCAGGGAACCACTGGAGGCTACAGAGCTGCCCCAAAGCACCAGAAGTTGAGGGGTTGGGAAAGGGAGCCAGCACCCGAGCGAGGAGCCAAGAGACTTTGGGGGTACACCATGCCTTCTTCCCCCCCCTTTTCTCTGGGCCTCAGTTGTTCTGTCTGTGCAATGGCACTAAACAGCACTGAGCTCAGATCAGAGGGATGGGAGTTGTGCAGGGCAACCCTATCTTGGGAGGCGGCACCCACCAGTGCCTCCCCAGGGAAAGCCCCAGCGGGCCCAGTCCGATGCCGGCCTCCAGCCTAGCACCTGACTTTGGCTATGGGAAGAGGATGCAACGAAACTCAGTAAGCAAGACAAATAATGTTTTACCATGGTATTTTTAAAATTCAAATTGGCGGGGTGCTGGGCTGGCTTAGTCAGAAGAGCACGCGACTCTTGATCTCGGGGTCGTGAGTTCAAGCCCCACGTTGGCTGTAGAGATTACTAAAAAAATAAATAAAAATAAACAAATACAATTTAAGAACTAAAATTCAAATTGGCCAACTATGGCCTCCAGGCCAGCCATCAGTTTTTATAAATAAAGTTTCATTGGAAAAAACTGCTTGCTCTCAGATCTTGGTTCCTACCTTAACCTGGGTGATCTTGGGCCAATTCTCTTGCTCTTCTCAACCTCAGTTTTTCACCTGTGAAATGGAGAGAAGAGCGAACGGGTTTCCCTGTTAAGATTAAATGCAATAGGTGCGCATGAGCACTTTGAGCAGCGACTGTCACTCAGGGAGCCCTGAATAACAATGATCATTATCATTAGTAGTTGCTATTGTCATTGTATTCAAAATTTCTTTTAAGTATTTATTTAAGTAATCTCTACACCCAAGGACTTGAACTCATGACCCCAAGATCAAGAGTCACATGCTCCACCAACTGAGCCAGCCAGGTGCCCCAAGAAATTTTTTTAATCAAAGGAGCAGACACTTGGGGCGCCTGCGTGGCTCAGTCGGTTAAGCGTCTGACTCTTGATTTCAGTTCAGGTCATGACCTCAGGGTCCTGGGATCGAGCCCAGCATTGGGCTCTGCACTCACGGGGGGCGGAGGGGTCTGCCTGGGATTCTCTCTCTCTCCCTCTCCCTCTGCCCCTTCTCCCCCTCCTCCGCTCTCTCTCTCTCTCTGTCTCAAATAAACAAATCTTAAAAAAAAAAAAAAGAGGGACACCTGGGTGGCTCAGTCAGTTAAGCGTCTGCCTTCAGCTCAGGTCATGATCCCAGGATGTTGGGATCGAGCCCCTCATTGGGCTCCTTGCTCAGCAGGGAGTCTGCTTCTCCCTCTGCCTACCGATCCGCCTGCTTGTGCTCTCTCTCTTGCTCTCTCTCTGGCAAGTAAATAAATAAAATCTTTCTTAAAAAAAGAAGAAAGAAAGGAAGAAAAAGGAGCAGACCCTTGTAGGAGGCAGCCCTCACTGGTACACATGCCAAGAATCAACGGGAACGTAGCGCTCACCGTGTGGTGCCAGGCCTGTCCCAGGCATTCTATATCCATGGACCCATGGATATAGACACAACAATTCCTTGATTTATTCACCCGGGACTAGTGTCATTCTTGTTTTTCAGCTGAGGAAACTGAGGCACATGGCAATTACGCCACCAGCAAGGATCACATAGCCAGTAAAGGGTACAGCCTGGATTCAGATGGAACCAGTCTGGCCCAGACTATCCAGGTCCTTCCACCGTGATGTTCCCTGTCCCCCTGAGGAGCAAACCGCCCGAGACACACAAGCATGCGCTGACAGCCACGGTCCTTCACTGTCACACTCCAGACTGCCATCCTAAGCGTCCCTCTCACACACCAACACCATGACCGGCAGAGACGACCTCAGCCACACACCCTTGGTCACAGGCTGTCACAGCCACGCACCCCTAGGCCCCCTGTCATGTCGACCTCCTCACAGGCACACAGCACGCTAGTCTCTCTGTCACAGACCGGGTCCTGAGGAACACCAGAGCCTGGTGGGCCCTTGCCCAATGTCTCTCCCTTGGAATTTTTCCAGTGATGCAGCCCCTGAAACCCATAGCAGCAGGTGGGAGGAGACCCCAACTCTTCCAGGGACAGATGGATGCCTGAGGCCCAGAACAGGAAGGGACCGGTTGAAAGGTACAAGAGCAAAGCGGTGGCTTTGAGCAGTGGGGGTCTCCTGCCCAGCCCGTAGGGGCTAAGAGACCCGGCTTTTCCCTTTACCCACCTTTAGCGCCTAGGCTGGACTCCAGTTTGGAGAAAAATGTGGGGGAATCTTCCCTGTCCCCATGCTGCCCCCACTCAGCTTGGACCCAGGAACAGGGTGGGGAGACAGAAGGGGGCCCTCACACCTCAGCTGGGGCCAGACCCCCGCTGCCTGCTTTCACTCCAGAATTGTTTTTCTTTTTTAAGATTTTATTTATTTATTTGTCAGAGAGAGAGAGAGCACGAGTAGGGGGAGTGGCAGGCAGAGGGAGAAGCAGGTTCCCCACTGAGCAGGGAGCCCAATGCTGGACTCGATCCAAGGACCCTGGGATCATGACCTGAGCCGAAGGCAGACACTCAACCAACTGAGCCACCCAGGCATCAATCACCCCAGACTTTCTACCGCCAGGCAAGCATTCAGGCCCAGAGCAACTTACCCTGCTGCCCTCCTAGAGGGTCTGATCCAGCTCCAAACACTGCCCACCTCCTCTCTCATTCTCTCTCTCTTTCTCTCTGTCACCCTCAAACACACACGCACATGCACACGCACTCACGCATACCCCCTCAGGGAAACATGCGGACACACCAACACACACCTCCCCCTTATCTTCTCTAGAGCCCTCCCCAGGCCTTCCCATCTCTCCTTATCTGATGGAAGAATCCTGCTCCACGTGCTCCAAGTAAAAGAGAGATGTGGGTTCTAATCATACCCACTTCCTCTGTCGCCGGGTCTTGTGGTTGTTTGGAGTCACGGCTGCCTCAGGGAAACGGGGAGCATAAGAGACCTCTCTCTTAGAGATGTACGACAGTTAAATTAGATAATTCAATTAAGGGCTTAGGGCTGTGTCTGGCATGTAGTAACTACCTAGTAAATGAGAGCTTTAATAAAATTGAGTGAAGTGCTTTGAAAATTTGGCAGTCCTGTATACAAAGCCAGTCTCCCGACTCCTGCCACATGAGTGAAGCAAGACAGGAATTAGTAGCAATTTCCCAATGAGAAAATTGAGGCTCAGAGTCTGAATGGTGAAGCTGGAAGGAGGACTCCATCTCTGGATTCCAAACCCCTCCCCCCGGTTCTGCTGGCACATCGAGTCACGGCCGGGACAGTGCCTTCTGGATGACTGTGTGTGGCCACAGGTGAGAAGGGGTGGCCTCTGGCCTAAAGCCCTGAGAAGGCAGAGGCTGTGTCCCCAGCACCTTGCACCCCAAGCTATCATAGACGACCAGCGGCCCGGCCAAAGCCCATGTCCTCTCTTTTCAGGTGATGACCCCCCCGTGAGGAAGCCCTGTAGTGTGACTAGAGGAAGGGGCTGCCCCCGCCGGCCCCCCCCAACCCCGCCACCATGAATACCTCGGCCCCGCCCGCCGTCAGCCCCAACATCACCGTCCTGGCCCCGGGAAAGGGGCCCTGGCAAGTGGCCTTCATTGGGATCACCACAGGCCTCCTGTCCCTGGCCACGGTGACAGGCAACCTGCTGGTACTCATCTCCTTCAAGGTCAACACTGAGCTCAAGACAGTCAACAACTACTTCCTGCTCAGCCTGGCCTGCGCTGACCTCATCATCGGCACCTTCTCCATGAACCTCTACACCACGTACCTGCTCATGGGCCACTGGGCTCTGGGCACACTGGCCTGCGACCTCTGGCTGGCGCTGGACTACGTGGCGAGCAACGCCTCCGTCATGAACCTGCTGCTCATCAGTTTCGACCGCTACTTCTCCGTGACCCGGCCCCTGAGTTATCGAGCCAAGCGCACACCCCGCCGGGCGGCGCTGATGATCGGCCTGGCCTGGCTGGTCTCCTTCGTCCTGTGGGCCCCAGCCATCCTCTTCTGGCAGTACCTGGTAGGGGAGCGGACGGTCCCGGCCGGCCAGTGCTACATCCAGTTCCTGTCCCAGCCCATCATCACCTTCGGCACGGCCATGGCCGCCTTCTACCTCCCCGTCACGGTCATGGGCACACTCTACTGGCGCATCTACCGGGAGACGGAGAACCGGGCCCGGGAGCTGGCGGCCCTGCAGGGCTCCGAGACACCCGGTAAGGGCGGCGGCAGCAGCAGCAGCTCCGAGCGGTCCCAGCGGGGGCCTGAGGGCTCCCCGGAGACCCCCCCGGGCCGCTGCTGCTGCTGCCGGGCGCCCCGGCTGCTGCAGGCCTACAGCTGGAAGGAAGACGAGGAAGAGGACGAAGGCTCCATGGAGTCGCTCACGTCCTCAGAGGGGGAGGAGCCCGGCTCTGAGGTGGTGATCAAGATGCCCATGGTGGACGCCGAGGCGCAGGCCCCCGCCAAGCCGCCCCCCCGGAGCTCCCCCAACACGGTCAAGAGGCCAACCCGGAAAGGGCGTGGGCGAGCGGGCAAGGGCCAGAAGCCCCGAGGGAAGGATCAGCTGGCCAAGCGGAAGACCTTCTCGCTGGTCAAGGAGAAGAAGGCGGCGCGGACCCTGAGCGCCATTCTGCTGGCCTTCATCCTCACCTGGACGCCATACAACATCATGGTGCTGGTGTCCACTTTCTGCAAGAACTGTGTCCCCGAGACCCTGTGGGAGCTGGGCTACTGGCTCTGCTACGTCAACAGCACCATCAACCCCATGTGCTACGCTCTCTGCAACAAAGCCTTCCGGGACACCTTCCGCCTGTTACTGCTTTGCCGCTGGGACAAGCGTCGCTGGCGCAAGATCCCCAAGCGCCCCGGCTCTGTGCACCGCACCCCCTCCCGCCAATGCTGATGGCCGCTCACCTGCATCCCGCCGCCCCAGTCCCCGGGAGAGCCGGGTAGGACGCGGGCAGGGGCTGTGACCTCAGACCCAGGGCCCTGCTCTGTCTTCACCAGGCTTCCGGGGGAGGGGAGGGGGGGGGGCCCCTAGGTCACCTTCCTGGACAGCCAAACTTTGCTCTTCCCAGGCAGGGAACAAACCCAACCCGGGGAACTGGTTTTTCCGTTCCCTGCTGGGTGGGAATGGGCTCTTCACCAGGAAGAAGGCCGGGGAGACGGATCCAAGCTCTGGATCCCTTGTTTGCCTTCAGGCAGGAAATCTGTGGGGAACCAGCAACGGCCGGGCCAGGAGAAAGAAGGTTCACATCTCAGTCATCCCTGGCCCAGGGGCTGGCCCGGATCGCTCGGCTCCAAGGGAGCACCCCCTGACTGGGCATCCCCTCCCTCCGCAGGCACAGCCCCCACCACCCCCGGGCCGTAGGCACACTCTCCAGGGTTGTCCAGCCTCCCTACAAATGTCCCCAGAGTGTCCCCAAGGCAGATGTCCAAGCATCAACAGGACAATGCCACCAGAAGAGACCAGCTAGGCCAGTCACACACCAAGTCCCCAAGGCAGCAGCAGGACCAGGCGCCAGGCGTTCTGACTGTCCCACTATGTAGTTTCCCTGGGAATGAGGGGCAGGGCTGCCTGCTCTCCGGCCCCACACCTATACCCTCTGCCCCAGAGAAGCCCTCAGTCCCTCCCTCCCTCCCTGGCTCACGGCCACCACCTGGATAGATCTGCTCCGTGCAGGCCTAGCCAGGCCTCCCGCATGCTGCCTGCCTCCAGCCTGCCCCACACAGGCCTGGCCCAGCCGAAGGGTCCTCTCCTGTGAGCTCCCCGTCCAACCCATGCATGGCCTCCCAGCCGCCCTTATGTCCAGGCCCAGCCTGGCCGCAAATGTTCTTTCCTTCTATCCTCAGCAAGTGCTGAGTCTGTGAATAAAACCACATGACTAGCGGGCGCTCTGGGGCCTTCTTTCCCTGTGTTGGATCCCGGGCCTGGTCTTAGGCCAGGGCAGAATGGGATGGGAGGGCTCAAGTACTGTGGAACGTGGGCCACTTCCCTGAGCCTGGTCCCGGGAGGGGCAGCACTGAGTGGCTGGATCTCCTGAAACCTGTGGGCCCCAGCACTCCAGGGTCCCCGGCTCAGGGGAGTAGGGCTCTCATGGGCAGGAGGGAGGCCAGATGAAATGAATTGCCCGTGCCCATAGCCCAGCATATTCTCTATCGGCTCTGTCATATGTGGCTGCTCTGGGGCCCTGTTAGACCCGGGGAGAGCAGAACTGCTCCAAGGCCCCGTTTACAGATGGGGAGACTAAGGCCCAGTGACCCAGGAGGACTATTCAGGGTTACCCTACAAAGCAACACCCAGGCTTCCAGGCAATTCACAACCTCCTGACCCCTGGACTATGGAGAGGGGACACCTGGGGTCCAGGCCAAAGCACTCCATAAAGGGGACCCACAGGCCGGGTTCTAAGGCATCTCATTGGTGAGGGGGCCCTAAAGCGTAAAGCAAAGAAATCTTAGCGAGGTTAGTCCCACAGCATAGAGTAGTGGTTCTCAAAGTGTGGTTCTCATTGGGGGTCCTCAAGACTACACTTAGGTTCAATGATTTGCTAGAGAGACACACAGAACTCAGAAAAGCTGTTACACTCACGGTTAAAATTTATTACAGTAAAAGGATATGAATTAAAATCAGCAAAGCAGGGGTGCCTGGGTGGCTCAGTTGGTTAAGCATCCAACTCTTGATTTCCACTCAGGTCATGATCTCAGGGTTGTTGAATCGAGCTCTGTGTCAGGCTCAGCACTGGGTGTGTAGCCTCCTTAGGATTCTCTCTCTCTTTCACTCCCTTCCTCCCCCCACCCCCACCCCCCGCCATGCTCTCTCTCCTCCTCTCTAGGAAAAAAAAAAAAAAAAAAAAAAATCAGCAAAGGCTAATGGCACATAAGGCAGAGTCCAGGAGAGACCAGGTGCAAGTTTCCAGTATCCTCTCCCAGTGGAGTCACGGGGACAACACTTAATTCTTCCATGTGTGACAACATGCACGAAGAATTGCCAACCACAAAGCTTACCTGAGCCTTGGTGTCCAATGTTTCTACTGGAAATTGTTCATGTAAGCCTGGCTGACCCACTTGCCTGGCCTTAGCCACTCAGTCTCCAGCCCCTCCAGAGGCTAATCTGATACCACAAGGCCCACGGCCCCCAGGTAAGCAAAGACACTCTTATCAGGCAGGATATTCCAAGGGCTTAGGGGTGATCTCCCAGGAGCCGGGCGAGGACCAAAACTTTCTCTGGAACGGGCCAGGTTTGGACCACCCGGACCTCCTGAGTTAACCCTTGAAGGCACTGTCGTCCTGACCAGGAGCATTTAGCATCACCCAGGAACTTGTTAGATCTGTAAGTTCCCAGGGTCACCCCAGATGTACTGAACCAGAAACTCTGGGGGTCGAGCCCAGCCCTATGCTTCAACAAGCCCTCCAGGTGTGCTGATGGGGGCTAAAGTTTGAGAAACGCTGACCAGAGGAGTGAGGTCCTGGGTGGGCTGAACTTTTACAGAGAAGACATGGAAGGTCAGGACACAACAGTCAGGACTCCCGGAAGCCTTCGGAAGGGAAGCTTCCCACACTGTCAGCTCTAGGCTCTAGGAGCGCCCCTTCCTCACCACTGCTCCCTCGTAGCCCTGAGCCCCTGTAGGGTTCAATGCCCCGCCCTGTGGCGAAGGCACTGGAACAGAAGTCTTGGTGGCAGAGAGCCCGAGTCTGAGGAAGCCGAGCAGCGTTGGGAGAGCAGGAGCGCTGGAATCACATCAGCCTGAGCTCCACCGGAGGCCAGGAGAGGGAGGTCAGGGCTGGTGTTCACATCAGGAATGGGGTTAGCCGTTCACACTTGTCCCTTTTGGCAGGCGCGGGTCCTACCCGCCCGTGGCCCCTCCCCACGCAACCCTAGGCAAGTCTCTTATTTTCAGGATCCTCAAGGGGAATGAGTTCCTGGCAGAAGACGGAAGAGGGCGGGACAGATTAGAAAGAAAACACCTCCGTGGCTCTGCGACCAGTGTTAACCACAGGACGAGGCTGTTCCAGACCCACACCTTTCCCTACACCTCCAGCGGTGGCTTTACAGAGTCCAGAGGCCCATCCCCCAGCCCCGGGCGGGGAGGAAGAAACGGGGCTTGCACAAAGGAGGATCGGGGGCAAGCCTGGGTGGGGGAGGGCGTGCACCCCATGAAGGCAGCATCCCAGAAATGGGGCCTGTGCCCTGCAAGGCTCTGAAGCAAGATTCCTTCAAACCCAGCTGCCAGAAGATGGAGGAAATGGTTTGAGGCTGACAGGACAGGGTGGCTGGATATGGCATCAGTCCACCCCAAACACCGCCACCGCCCCCCCCCCGCGCCCCCCGGCCCTGAGGGAGTCCTTCTTGGCCCCGGAAACAAGGGCTGTTTCGAACGTGAACAAGAAGTGGGGAAAGAATGAGGTGGCTTTGTGAACGCCACCTCCTCCCCCTACCAAGTTGGAGCAGGCCTAGAGAAGGGGCACCGGGTAGGACTCTGCCGTGCGGGCGGCCCCCTCCCCGCTACCCCGCCGTTCCCACCGTATCACTTGAGCGCCATCTGCTGGCAGCCAAGGTAATTGTGCCGAGATCGTGGCGCTTAGAACCTGCCCGGGCTGCTTCCCAGAGAACAGGACCCCAGGACAAAACATAGAGTAGATGGTCTTGGCCACCTCAGCAACTGCCCCCCACATCTCGGGAAGAACCCGAGGCCCCGGAAGGACCAGTTCATTTGGCTACTACGCTAAACCCGCCGAGGCAGGCCCGACCTCTCTCCTGTATGTCGGTTTCACCAGGCAAGTAGGAGATGGAGGGGGGCGGGGGGGACACTTGGCATCCAAGGACAGCGCCCCCCGCGTTCTCCCAGTGCCTCCCCCAGGCTTTTGGAATCCTGTTTCATTTCTTGAAGCCTAGCTCTGATTGTACAGAACAGATGCTGACCCAACTGGACACTCACCTTTACAACCCAAAAGCCTTTGGAATGCCAGGTGTCCCACTCCAGCCTCAAGCTCCAAAGATTTTGAGGTGATGTCTTTGTTCTTAGCATCTTTGTAACATACACAAACTGCATAAGTCCAGGAATCAGACTATCACACAAAATAGGCCTGAAAATTACTGTCACTCCCCCACCCCCGTCCCTGTACCTCCTCCACCCCCCAGTTCTACTCCCACTCCTGGTGTTCCTGGCCTGGCTAGCACCACCATCCACGCAGTGCTCAATCCAGAAATCTGTGAGTCATCTTGGACTCCTTCTCCTTTTCACTCCCTGTACCAGTTGGTCAGTCCACCTCCCGAACAGTTCCTAAATTCGTCCAGCGCTCTCCATCTGTCCCGTCACCATCCTAGTGCAAAAGTGCTTGAAATGCTGAAATTATCCCTTAATTCAGGGGTTAACAAACCTTTTCTATAAAGGGCCAGATAGTAAATATTTTAGGCTCTGTGGATCAAGAGGCAAAATTAAGGATATTATGTAGGTACTTATGTATTATAGTCTCTGTCACAACTATTCAGTTCTGCAATAAACAGCACATAAGTGAATGAACATGGCTGTGTTCCAATAAAACTTTATTTAAATTCCACTGAGCTTTGAATTGCATATAATGTTCATGTGTCACAAAACGTTATTCTTCTTTTGATTTTTTTTTCTGGCCATTTAAAAATGCAAAACCCATTCTTAACTTACAATGGGTACAAAAACAGGCCGACCAGCTGTAGTTTGCCAACCCCTGACTTAATTGATCCCATTCCCATTCATTCTCCATGCTTCAGCCAAAGGGATTTTGCCAAAACTTAGATCCGATGCTGCCAATCGTTTGCTAACAACTAGCCAATAGCTTGAGATAAAAATGCAAGCCCCTCAGCCTACAACAGCCTTCCATCCAGGCTTTTCTGTAACCCCTCAGTCCGTTGACCCTAGACAGCCCCAAAAATTCTCTTGGTCCTCGCACAGGCCCCAAGCCCACTCATTCATGCTTTTCACTCCTTCCAGTTCCTCTGCCTAGAATTTTCTTGCCCCACTAAAAATTCTGTTTCCTCTACACTCTACTCACAAAATGTCTGACACCAAATGGAGGGTTGTTGGTTTTTGTTTTTGTTTTTTTTCCACACCAGCTAATTTTCCAACATCAGCCAGGTGTCCAGCAATTGATTCTGATGCTATCTATCTAGCGAGGTCCGGAAGGGTCCCGCGCGCAGGAGCTTCTATTCCCGTGGAGTTGGGGTGCACCACCCTCCCAGCACATGAATGTGTTCACTGACTGGGAAGCCCTCTGAACCCCATACTTTAGGGATTTTTTTTTTTTAAGATTTTATTTATTTGACAGAGGGAGACACAGCGAGAGAGGGAACACAAGCAGGGAGAGTGGGAGAGGGAGAAGCAGGCTTCCTGCTGAGCAGGGAGCCCGATGCGGGCCCGATCCCAGGACCCCGGGATCATGACCTGAGCCGAAGACAGACGCTTAACCGACTGAGCCACCCAGGTACCCCTAATGTAGGGATTTTTATGGAGGCTTCATCATGTAGGTGTGATGGATTATTAACTCAATTTCTATCTCCTCTCTCCTCCCTGGAGGATGAAACGGGCATTCAAAGTTCCAAGCTTCTAAGCCCCCACTCGAAACTATGCAGGAGCCTATCAAGAGCCATCACATTAAAAAAAAAAAAAAAAAGGCACTCCTATCACCCAGGAAATTCCAAAGGATTTAGGAGTTCTGTGTCAGGAACCAGGATCGAAGACCAAATACTAAGAACAAAAGATGCTCCTAACATCCCTATCGCTCGGGAAACCACAAGGGGAAATTCGGGAGTATGGCCAAGAGTTTGGGAGGCAGAGTTGGTGAACTAGAACAAGCCTCAGTTTCCTCCTTTATAAGGATATGATTGTGCAGAGCCTTAAGCATTGGTTTCCT